TCCTTTCTATCTCAATTTCTTGCAGTATCTATTCATATTTCTCCTATTTTTACTTTTCTTCAACTAGTTAGACATGATCTTTCAATTAGTTAGATCCAAGGGTTAATACCTTATTTTGGTCCAAACTATATCCAAACTTTCTACTTTGTCCTGTGATTTCTGAAATTGCTTCCCTGGCCTGAACTATACACCATACTTCCCTGTTTGGTCCGACGTGAATTTTGACCGTCAAATTAGAGGGTCAACTCCATTGACCGTTAGTCAAGCGCCAAGTCACTTGCCATGTCAGCAAACCCAAAATAAAAAATTTGTTTTGAATTTTTTTTTGTTTAATTATTATTTCTATTAGAAACCGAAATGAATTAAAATAATTAAAAATCCAACTTTTCTTATTTTGGGTTTATTGATGTGGCAAGTGACCTGGTGCTTAATGGAGTTGACCGTCCGATTTGACTGTCAAAATTTCACGTCGGGCCAAGCAAGAAAGTATGATGCATAGTTTATGTCAGAGGAGCAATTTCAGAAACCACATGCCAAAATAGAAATTTTGAGTATAGTTCGGGCCAAAATAAGGTATTAACCCTATATTTCAATTACCCATTCTTGTATCATTATTTTTATGCATAAAGTGTTTTTTTCTTCGTTATATCGTAGAAAGTAAAATTTACTATGTATTTTTTTCCCAAATAACATGTTAGAGTGGATCGACCTGCTCATACTCATAGTAGCATGGGGCGGAGCATGGATATTGAGCTACTGCCTCGACCCGCCATTGCCATTACTAAATCAATGTGTCTACCCTTATAATTTGTATAAATAGGAGTTCTCTTCTCAGAAATGATGAAGTTATATACATTGACTACTACTTCTCTTTTTGGTTCTTCTTACGCTTCTTTATTTTCCCTTCTCTCAAATCCCTTCGAGTCAAAAATTCATTGTTTGCTTCAAGTAAGAGGTACCAAATCCGTGGGACCTAAGGACTTTAAGGGTCCAAATCCGTGGGTTCCACGGACTTGAAAATCCCACCTCTTGAGGTGGGAATTGATCATGGACTTTGAAGTCCATAATTTTTTACTAACCAACCCCTCATACAAATTTAATTAACAAAATCCATAATGAAATCCATGAAACAGATAACGGTTTTTTTTCAAATCCATAATGAACCCAAAACGCTCACATATCCGTTGTATATCAAAACCCAAATTATACCAAAACCTTCATTTTTCAAATTCACGAAACAAACGACCCTTATTAAAGTAATTGAGAGTAACGGGTGCCAAAAGAGAGAGACTAACAGAAAGTACTGTACCTGTCGTTTATTTATCTTCAGATAATGACGGCTCCATGATCTTTCCGCCATTGTTGATCCAATTTTGCTACATGTAAATGTACGCCAAACACTAATTAAACAACAATAGACAGGACGATCGATCTCTCCCTCTCAAAGACTTTACGCAAAGCAGCTTTATATCGAGAATCTATAGGCATATACATATTTTAGCCTACCTAGCTAGCTAGCTAATGATGAAGACGGCAAGAGTTTCAATCCCATGCCTACCAAATATGGATTCGATTGAAGGGGAACATGTCGAATATGTTCAAAGATTGGCATTCACCTTATCGTCATATGAAACGACCGAATCGAATTTTTACTTGTTAATTAATGATATCTTCTGCATTCCTTGTCAAGAGCTTTAGCCTCAAGTGGGGGAATTTGTTTAATTAGTACTATATCATTATTCTGTTTAGACGACTAATTATCATGGTTACAACCGAGTTTTTGGATAGTTAACCCATTTGCCGTTGGGTTTATATCATGGTTACAAAAGAGTTTACAGCTAGAGTAGGTGCATAATTTAGAAACAAACAGAATGTAGTTGAAGTAAAATAAATTAAGAAAGGAATGAAAGGTTTTGTACAGTTGTATTCCTAAGAAAACCTATGCCCTAATTTTTGAAATCATATACCATCAGATCAATTTAATGAGAAACGGTAGTTTCACGGTTCTAATTCATCGATATACATCCAACATGCTAGATAAACAATCTTAGGGTTTCGAGTATTAGAAAATTAAGACCTAGAGTTCACTCATTAAGGATTGATGTATAGTACCGTGCTCCAATATCCGGTTAATTCAAGGGCTAATATAGTGTTTTCCTACTAAAGGTATGCAACACCTATAAATTCATATTGGGTACCCACAAATTCACCTCTAATGGGTAAACTATAGTCCCTAATTCTCAGTGGCGGAACCAGGACTTGAAACTAGATGTGTTCTTTTTTCAAAATATTAATATATAAATAAACATTTGATACATTTAGCAAGAAGCTAAGTGAGCTTTAATGTAGTGGGAAAATGCGTGTATGCCACCTCAAGGTGGTGTGTTTGATCCCTTCTATAATAATCGACGATTCTAATTTTTCGAAATATACTGCAGTACTAATAAATATATACTTCACACTTTATCTCTCGCCAGTAATGTTCCATACACATGTAATGCAAAAAATGGTATTATGTCTTCCTAAAATTAGTTTGATCGAACATATACAAAATTAATGATAAAGAATGCCAAACGAGAATGAACACTAGCTAGAAAATGTTCGATGCTGAAGCTCTCAACTCGTTTGCAAATTTACTTCCACACCCAGTCAACATTCTGAGAGTGATGACTCAGAATGACAAATAGCTTCTGTATAATCAGGAAAAATAAATAAAATATAGATTAATGATTGGTTCTGTTATCTTCAACTTGTGCTATATCCAGTTAATAATAATAATAAAACGATGAACTGCGCATGCATGAGAATAAAAGAAGATATTATTAAATGTACTGGATATATGCAGGCAGCTGCCCTAGCTGATGTCTGGTTCTGGCACATGCACAAATCATTGGAAGCCATAATTATTGCCAATACTTAAATTACTCTTCTTTTGTCAACAACTTGTGTCTATTATTATTATTATTATTATTATTATTATTATTATTATTATTATTATTATTATGTGTATCGATCTAACTTGATCTTAACTTTTGATTCTGACTGGGATAATAGGTTTTGACCAGATCGAGTGGTTGCAAATTCTACTCAACGAAAGTGTGCCAAGTATCGAGACTTGAGCAAAGCGGCTGGTTACAGTTTCCTGTCCTTTCCTTTTTCTTTCCTGGGAGAGTTGGACACGAATTTCGTAGCTTTACTCAAATGCAGTGGCGGACCCAGGATTGTTGAAGAGGGGTGTCGCCGATAAAAAATTATAATAAATGATATAATAAAATAAAAATTTAATAAAAATTACTGGAAATTCATTTATAAGTTGACAACGTCATGTTTACTACGAATTATGACAATTTTTCATATGCTAATTTTTTTAAAAAATACATTCATCGCTTATGTTGCAAATCAAACATTTTTCGATATACACAACTACTTAATCATTCATAAATTAGTCACTCAATCAAAGAGAATCGACCCACATCGAAAATCAAAGTTAAAATAATATAGTTTACAATCAAATATAGTAAACCATGATCTATCAATTGACAATTTAAGACAAAACAAAGTATGCCTAAAGCAATATCATTAGCATTTTTTCTCAAGTTCTACCAAATTAATCAAAATCAAACCACAATCTCCCATAAATTTACGCAATTCACCTATTAACTACAAATTGACAAGTTAAATTGGTTTGTGGTTACTTCAAACAAGCATGCTTATTTGATTTTACTTATTATTGTTAATTATTAAATTATGATGAATAACTTTATAACATTAAAACATTATCGTATAATGAAAGTGTGTCGCTTATAATTATTAAAGCGGTGCCAGAAGTCTCAAATTAAATTTTTTTATACCAAAAAAATGGAGGCCCTTCACAAACATTTCCAAATTACTGGTATGTGAACCGATCGGTTGAGGTCGTAACCAGGGGCGGACTCAGGTGAAAGGTAGGGGGTGTCCTAAAATTTTGGAGACAAATTAATGAACTCTCGGTAGTAGTTTGCGTAGGGAAAAAAGAAAAAATAATGGTAGTATATGTGTTTCAAATTTATAACATAGTGCTTATTAGTGAACATTTTTCTATATGACTATACTTCATTTGTTATTGTAATTTTGTCATAAATGTAGTTATAAACATATAGCTCTTATCCTCAATTTTTCTAGATCCTAAAATTTAACCTACGAACTACTCCTTATACTCATCGTATTCTAACACATAATTTTATCCTGAAGAGTTCGGTCACATTTCTGATTCTTTTCGACTATTGAATTTTCATAATTATTATCATCGTTTTAAAAATGAAGAGCTATTTTTGTGGATTAAAAGAAACTAATGAATTAGTTGAGTTGGTGGTGGAGACAGAATTGAATCTATCATATTTGCTCGTCAAAGTTGTATTACTTTACCGATTTGCAACTCCAAGTGTTGAGAGAGCTTTTTCAACTCTGAGTTACATCAAAAACAAGTTTCGGAATCGAATGTGCGATCGGTTCGTGAATGATAGTCTAATAGGATATACTGCAAGAAAGCACTCTAGACAATGAGTGTATTTTATAACTTTTTTTTAAATATAATAACACGTCATTCACTTTTGTTGTACCTTGTACTAGTCGAATTTTTCCTTATTTAATTAATTTTTAGAGCTTTTTCGAATTTAATTTTTAAAAGTAACACCCACATATAAAATTCCTGAGTCCGCCACGTAACTGAATTGGTATGGTAATAGGTTGGAGTTGAGACCAATTTGCCCAAAAATCAAAACCAACAAAACAAAAAAAGAAAACAAAAAACCTCCTTTCCCTACTGATTTGACTGAATTTAGAATTTAGATATCCTCACACTCACAGTGCGGCACACTGTCATCCTTGCCTAGCCATCCATGGCCACTATAAATAAACGTGTACCCTCTCCCTTCCTCCTCCAAAATCCCTCCATTGATCAAACAACCCAAAGCCTCCACCATCTTCCCTCCCTTTCTCTCTTTCTATATCTCAAGAAATCCATGGAGTTCACCGCAACTCTGTGCAGTACTGTATTCGTAGCAGCGGTAGGGTATTTTATACTGAAGACGGTGTACGACACCTTGACATGCTACTACCTCACCCCGAGACGCATCAGGAGCGTCATGGAGAGGCAAGGGGTTCGCGGGCCCGAACCCCGGCCTCTCCTCGGCAACCTCCCTGACCTGTCCTCCTTGATCTCTCGCTCCACCGCCGGCGACTGCGATTCCGTTCACCACGACATCGTCCCCCGCCTCCTCCCGCATTTCGTCCTCTGGTCACGTCAATACGGTGCCGTTTTTTCCCCCTTCCTCAACCTCTCTGTTTTACACACTCTGCCCTCCTCTGTTTTTCCGAATTTCATTCTGCTTATGCTCTGTTTTTCAAAAAAACAGGGAAGAGATTCATATACTGGAACGGGATTGAGCCACGGATGTGCATCACGGAGACGGAATTGATCAAGGAATTGATGACCAAGTACAGCACGAAGGCGGGGAAATCGTGGATGCAGCAGCAGGGCTCCAAGCATTTCATCGGCCAAGGGTTGTTAATGGCGAATGGCCAGGATTGGCACCATCAGCGACACCTTGTCGCCCCTGCATTCATGGGAGATCGGCTCAAGGTCCGTATCATAATAATGGGTTTATGTTTCTTTTTTTTTTTTTTTGTTGGTTTTTTCGTCTTCCGCGTTTTTTTTTAATTGGTTCGTGGATGCTCTGTTTTTGGGGCACTCTGTTTTTTTTTTCCGGCGGCAGAGCTATGCAGGACACATGGTGGAATGCACTGAGAAGCTGCTGCAGACGATGGAGACTGAAATGGCGGAGCCGGGTAATTGTAACGAGCTGGAGATCGGAGAATACATGACGAGGCTCACCGCCGACATAATCTCGAGGACGGAGTTCGATTCGAGTTACGAGAAAGGGAAGCAGATTTTCCATCTCCTCACCGTTCTCCAGCGACTCTGTGCTCAGGCATCAAAGCACCTCTGCTTCCCCGGTAGCCGGTCAGTCAAGTCACTTCATCAGAATACAAAAAATACAGCTAATGGATCTCTTATCTTATCAAAATAGCTCAAAAATAAAATTGGGAAATGATGGTAAGAGTCACAACAACGAAGAATCTGACTCATCTGTCGGAAAACCCAATTCCCTAGACCAAAGTTCGTCCACTTAAAATTCCTAAAAAAAAATGTGTCGTCGTAGTACGATTCGCGACTTAAATTAACTATTAATATCGGGAGGAATATCAGCAGACCAATTCGTCTCAATAACGCGAAAGATAGTGAGACGAGTTTTTGTAACGATTGTTTGTGTTTCGTGGGGGTGGACAGGTTTTTGCCGAGCAAGTACAACAGGGAGATAAAATCGCTCAAGGCGGAAGTGGAGAGGCTGCTGATGGAGATCATACAGAGCCGGAAAGACGGGGTCGAGATCGGCCGGGGCTGTTCCTACGGGAACGATCTGCTGGGTATGCTACTGAACCAGCTCCAGAACAACGACGACGGCAAGTCGGGTAAAAATGTTGGTGGTAGTAACAAGAGTGGACTGGATTTGCAGTTGATAATGGACGAGTGCAAGACTTTCTTCTTTGCCGGGCACGAAACGACGTCGCTTCTGCTGACGTGGACGGTCATGCTCCTGGCTTCCAACCCAGATTGGCAGGAGAAGGTTCGGGCCGAGGTCAACCAGGTTTGCGGTTCCCAACCACCAACCCTTCACCACCTCCCTAAGTTAACCGTGGTAAGTTAGTTATTTACTTGTTTTGAAAATTTTGAACTCTTGATTGCGATAAGATTTCGCGTCAAACAACAACAACAAAAATCATCTTTTATCTATTATTTTATCGACCTGTGTCGAAACTTTTCAACTCTTGATTTACTTAGTAATTAACTGCTAATAATTTAGCGATATCAGTATCGTAGAAAATGCACCTTATTCGTGCTTAAATTCAAGATCTTGGCAAATTTCTGTCCTGATTGCATTTAATAATTTTTATCGAAAAGTCAGAATTTAGACTATTCTCTTTGATTGGTTTAACTTCACTTTCGTAATCATAAGCATCCTTTAATTATAACTAAGAGATAAACGCTCCACAATTGAAGTGATAGACCACTTTTATTAAAAATTAATATATTAAGTCCACGATAACTACTCCACATAAACAAAACTGTACTATTTTCATTTTGTTTCTCAAGTCAAGTTTCACCGACGTCGAAGAAAAGTTTTCACCGACGACGATGAGGTCAAATTCTGGCTTAGCTAGCTCTTGACCTCCTACGAGGCTACGACTCTGCCTCCGTTGACCTAAAGCTTGAAAACTTGAGAGGTCAAAACTGGAGTGAGATCACATTATTTTTTGTTAATTAATATTTGCGACCTTATTTTTGGCAGTTTGTGACGGTTTAAGTGAGTTCTAGAAGCTGCTGCTAGTGTGTGAAATCTGTCACTAGCCTAGCTACCAACTTATTTTTCGTATTATGGGACAAGATATTCCTATATCGTTTTGTTTTCTTTATTTATTAACAAAACAAATTAATAATTTATATATATTATGTCACAGTATAGAGTAGAGGAGGAATACCTACCAGATCCTACCACCATATATTCTGTTTTCTTTACCACGAGGATCGAATATATTTAATTAATTGGTATTAGGATATATTTAATTAAGCCACGGGGGCCTAATCTAATCTTTTCCCCCATGGATTCTCCACTTCACCTACCTCTCTCCTTCCCCTCACCATTTGCTATATACATACATCACTTCCAAGTTCCAATACTCATAAAAATGAATACGAAATTCGTATTAGTGTCGTACTATCGTTATATTGTTCATGAACGTTCAAAACAACATTTGAAAAAATACACGAGAAGTATGACGGTTTACAATATCTCCACCTTCACTTTAGTGTTTATATATAGAGACTAAAGTAGCAGAACTCTTTCTCATCCCATGAGTAGAACATCCACTAATTAATTAATTAATTAATTATGTATAGGAGAGGAGCATTAGTTAGGAGTATTAATCCAAAAGAATTTCAGTCAAAAGGAGTCAAAGTGGCAGTCAACAGCTAGCTAGATAGCATCATATTTAAGTATTGAAGATTCTTTTTTAAGTAATAAGCTCTTAGAAGCATCCATCGATCGTCCCTTCAACACATCCAAAAGTTCTGTTCCTTATCCCACCCCCAATCATCAAAGCCAATCTTTCTTCTTCTCTTCATATTAATAAATAATAATAATTATTATTATTATAATATAAGTTTCTAAATAAAAAAAATATGAATAGGGTTCAAATTCATACGTGTACTCCATATTTTGCTTTTTTTTTTTTGTTCGTTTTTCATTTTCCCGCGGAAAAGATAACACATGCAATCATATATATGCTTTACTACATACACCATGCGTGCGTGCAACTTTTTCCTTTCTTTAATAGCTCATCCTTTTTCTTTCTTACTAAAATCGTGATTTAATCACAGTTCGATTACTAATGGTTAAATTCGTTCGTCGACCAATTTGAGTCCGGTGTCAGCTGTGTATCCGGTCCGATCGACCGGTACGGTAGGGTTAAAACGTTGACGCGTTTTAACATACATTGTCGTGTTTTGCAGCTTCACATGGTGATCAACGAGTCGCTCCGGCTGTACCCGCCGGCGACGGTGCTGCCGCGGATGGCGTTCGAGGACATCAAGCTCGGCGACCTCCACGTCCCGAAGGGGCTGTCGATATGGATCCCGGTGCTGGCGATCCACCACAGCCACGAGCTGTGGGGCAAAGACGCCAACGAGTTCAACCCGGAGAGATTCTCCCCCGCCGCGAAGAAGACGACGCCGGGCGGCGGCGGGAGGCACTTCTTCCCCTTCGCGGCGGGGCCGCGCAACTGCATCGGGCAGTCGTTCGCGATGATGGAGGCGAAGATCATACTGGCCATGTTAATAGCAAAGTTCAGCTTCACGCTGTCGCCGAATTACCGGCATGCCCCTGTCATTGTTCTGACGATCAAGCCCAAATACGGTGTTCAAGTTTGCTTGAAGCCGTTGAAATGATTAAATAATTATTTTGATTGTATTGAGGCTTTTTGCAGGAGGAGGTTTGAGAGAGAGGCTGGAAATTTGGGAGGCATTTCTTTAATTTTTCGTTGTTTTTGAGGGATGGGGAAAAGTTTTGTTGAGTTTTGTTGCGTGAACAAAAAAAAAAAAAAAATTGAAATTTACTTCAATTTGGGGTTACATTAGTTATTAGCAGGGTTGGGAAAATGTGTGGAAAGGTGGAAGGGCAGTTGTGCTATCTATGGACTTCAACTTTTACGGCTTTGGATATAATGTTACCAGAATTATGGGAACGAATTATATTTGGGGAAAATGTGAAAGAAAGAGAGAGGGGGAAAAATAACGAAGTGATAAAATTATAATAAATAGTAATGAGATTCAGTAATATTGTTTGGGACTTTGGGTATGCTTTTGGTGACTTGCAAATCGCAATAACTTGTTCAAAACGGTCAACCAGTAAGTGATTGTGGTCGATTGATTACACTAGCGTGTCCATTCCTATGGAAGAATGTGGCCGACCTTAAACATCAACCGGTCAATCGAGCATAAGAGACTCATAATTAGAAAGGTCGGCCTTTCCAGCAGAGTGGTCGACCATTTCAGAGAGGAGGTCAACCACACGGAAGAACGCTCGACCCTCAAACTTAGCAAACCTTCCTCTTGGTAGATTAAATTGATTGGTTTTACGGCTGGCCTCGTAAAAGAACGAAAACCTTGAGCTATTGTCTATTCCGATCAACTTTGTAATAGTCGAATCGATTTCATAGGACCCATAATGTCATGCACCTTCTGAAATTCAATCGTCAATCAGTAGCAGGAAATCATATATTCTTGTAAGGTTACTCATTAACACCAAAAATATCTTTTCTCATATGAAATGAAAATTGGATTCATGAAATAGGAGAAAGGTTTCACATTCCTTAATTAGCCTAAAAGATATGTGGCCATGAAACAGGGATTCGGTGGAACAGAATTGATTGGGTGGTAGAGTCGTGGAAACACCTGTTTCTTCCATATTTTGGGCATGGAACATTAGGTGAATTTTGGCATGCATTCTTGTGTTTCAGGCATGTATTGTTATATTCCTTGTATGCATTGCATTCTAGTAAGCCTGGTATACATTTATTAGTTTCTTATATGCATTACTTTGTTTCTGCTTGATTCCGGCGATAAAAACCGAAAAATAAGAAAAAAATAGAAAAAAATATGGAGTTTAACATCTAAATTCGATTTTATTTTTTAGTGCGTTTCATTTTTTTCTATTAGTATTATCCTCATAATAACACTTTGTTTCTTAAACGTATCATCTTTTCATGTTATGTAATCGATGCCTCCTTATTCAATTCTCAGATGAACCATCCCAATTTGACGAAAAAAGTTGACATGCTTTACTTGTAGACGAACCACGGACGCAAGCTAGAATCTATGTAACCGATCGGAACGCTGCGCACGAAATGCATGGAAAGACAGAATGTCGTAAGGGTAAGGTTTTTTAGCTGGCAAGAAATCATGGAATTTTGTCCCTTATACATTTTGTTAACAAGGTAGGCATAACGGTATAGAAGACTCCAATATTTCGTGATGCATGTATATATTGTCTGCCGACCTTGTATAATCTTGTACATATTCTGTTGTTTGTTCCTTCCTAACTTTGGACTTCTCTCGACAGCTTCTCGAATTGTTAGTTATTTGTAGCAAATACCGTAGGAAATGTGAATATGAGTGCAAAACGATCCAAACTATCAAGAATATATTTACTCTATATGTATTTTGTTGTGCTTAACATGTATCCTATTAAAAAATTATTTATAATTTGATGACTCGTTTGCTTTCGATATATATGTCAAAAACCGTCTAACATCATTAACTCGAGTTGTTGAGAGAGGTGTTCAATAATTGATCTTATACTATTTATTGACTCGCAACTTCAAACAAAAGTAAACTTATATGGAGCGGACTTGAATTAGTTTGCACAAATTTGAATCTCATGTGCTTAACAAATGGGGTAGCTAGGATTTGAACACAAGACCTCTAGGTCATCAAAGGTTCTAATAGCATCTCAAGAACCGTTTCGTCCCAATAACTCAAATTATTATGAGATATTCAATAAAAAATCTTATATCCACTACAACAAAAAAAGAGCTATAGAGACAGAGACAATTTATTTCTATAAGGCATTTATTTGTCTCTGTAATTCTTTAGAGACATATAACACATCTGTCTCAAGTAGTGCTATCACTATATTTCTACAGAGACAAATATGGAGACAAATGCTATTTGTTTCTTATTAGAGATACAGTGACTAATATTTTAGCCTCTAAAATGAATTTGGAAACCATTATTTTTGTTTCCGTATCTAGCTTTAGAGACACAAATATTTGAGTCTAAAATGGTATTTGGAGGCGGATTACATTGTCACTAATATTAGTTGTAGAAACAAATAAATTATTATAAAGGCAAATATTTTTGCATCAAATATGATTTGCGGAAACAAATAACATTGGTTGTTATATGATTCTTTTGCGAGTGTTACTTATGTTCTTTTCTTTGCTGGTCTCTAATTATTGTTTCAGTTCCCAATATTTGTAATTAATTTTATTCTACAAATAATAATCAAAACTCGATATATTAAAATGATAAATACGAACAAATATAGATAACAAAAAACTTATTTCTTTGTATATTAAAATGGACCCTGTTACATTCTTTTGTAACAATAATATCTTATACATTGAAACAAAGAGGTTGAGAGTAATTATGAGTACATATACAATTGGGCAAACTAAAGATATTGGACTACAATGCTGCTCTTCCGCTGTCGAAAGTTTGAACCTCTTTGGTTGATTCAACTAATAATGCTTCTATGTAGCTCCAAAACTTGCATCAAGGTGGCATCATGCTTCAACAATATAATGTATGTGCAATCTGCAAAACAAACTCTTCAATCTCAATCAACGGTTAATATTTTCTTCCATTTAATCCAAAACAAACTGACCAACAAATCATATAAAAACCAACCATATATTTTGCGGAAGCTCCATCAAATCTTTTACACAGTTCAATAAGTGGGATTGTGGAAATCTACATTTGGAAAAAAAGTTCCAATTGAGGACGAGCATGACAACCAATTCAAAAAAGAAACCACAAGACACAAGTATGTAGGTTAACTCTGATATATAGCACTACCAAGTATCTCTATATTAGAGTAAAGATTAACTCATCACGTGCCAAATGAATCCTTATAGAGCTAGATACAGAGATAAACGCTGATGGGGTAGATGACAAGCCACAAAATAGGGGAAAGATGAAAACAATAATGTAAAGACAACAGTGGGAAACTGATTAACTCACCCAATGAATTTGTGGTGATACTTGCGATTGGGAACACAATCTAATGTGACGGGCTTGCCTTTGGCAGATGGGCGGTGGGCAATGTGCAAGTACATCAACATCGATGGCGGCGGGTGAAATTGAGCCCTAATCTCCTTTAGAATTTGAGAAGATGTGAAGAGAGATTTAGGGTTAGCCAAAAGGGTATGATTAGTCTCAAGTCCACTGACGGCTCCCTTAAAATGAATTCCAGAGACACCAAACGACAACGTTTAAGTTTTATTTTTTAATTTAATTGAATTGAAAACAAATATAAGATCTTTGCTTAGTTAATTTCCTTTCTTGGTATGGTGGTGCATAATTATTTCTTATGTCCGAGCTACAAGTAATCTGTCGCAAGAAGGTTGTCGTCATAAATTTGCAGTTAAAACTAATTATGAATTATTTAAAAGTTAAAGTTACATATTTTCAGATAATATTATTAGAGACAGATTCTACTACTTACAGAGGCAAATATTATATATGTTACTAATAAATTATTTTTAGAGTCAGATAATAGCATTAATAGTGATAGATTGTACATTTGTACTATATAAGGTATCTTTAGAGACATATGCTACATTTGTCTCAATAATTTAGTCGCTATATATCAATTTTCTTGTAGTGATCATTTACTAACATCCTTCACATATAGCTCGTTTCACAAAATGTTCACATAGCTCGTTACAGAAATGGTATCATTATCATGGGAGTCAATATGATGAATAGCTAGTTTTACAAGGAGTATAAATTTGAGGAACAAGAAAAACAAATTAAGGTTTTGAAAACTCGAGGGAACTCGTAAGGTATACTTATTTTAATATTTGTGTAGAAATTATAATGTATTAGATACCATCGAGATAACTTTTTCTACAAATTAGCTCCGTTCTGGCAAAAAAACTTGTTGTTGATATTGACTAAGTACATGCACATTTGATTTTGAGTGGATAATATGCAACACTATCATTTGTACGTAGCTTATTGAAAAAATGAATAAGTCAATAAATAATTCGCAAATCATCATTAGACATGTGTAACGTTAACCATGATCTCAATTTGACATCTCATAATTTCCACTCTCAATTAACTATATATTTCTAATTTATCGATTTTCCTCCTAAATCGAATTGGTCCACGAACCCACACTATTCCACTCTCCCTCCTCCCCTGAGTGCATACTACGTCATCTTTTTGTAATCTGAGCATACAGTTTAGTGATGAGCTATACTTTAAATAAGTAATATCAATGTGATATTCCATGATAATGGTTAGTTAGCTTTAATAAGAAATTTGAAATCTTTTTATATCCCCCCACCTTTGCACGAATGGGTTTAATTAGTGGATACTAAGTGCGGAAGATTATATGTAATCCCATCATATTTTAAATCGATAAAAGCATAGCCGTTCTCTCTCACAATGATAAGTGTATAAAGTATTAGAGATTAGCTAGGGTGGACCTTTTGGTTTTGGAGGTCCATCTCTTTTCTAAATTAAAGAGCACAAGACAAGAAGTCAAAGATTGGTCAAAGTTGATTAATAAACTGATTTTGCAGCCCTCTCTCTCACTAATCATAAAATTAATATATACATATTACATAATGTTGTGTGCTACTAGGATTTGCCGGGTTCACGCAATAGGATCTGAAATTAATTATAGCTGAAAGATATAAATTGGATTGTTTTTTAATAGTCGCAGCCTGTAGGAACTCGAAGTCGAAACAACAGTTGCAAGCGAATGATTCGGCTGTGATCCAAAATGAGATAGGTGTTGTCTGTCATGGCATACGATCGATGCTTAAGGGAGCAAACATCTATATCAATGACATATAACATCAAATACTCCTTGCTCACATGCATGTTGAGCCTCGACATAGTTGGCATTGATTAACCACGACTTATGTAGATCTACACGAGTTATAAATCGAAGGCGACAATAGCGATTTACGTCACAAAATCTTAGTCGTTCTTAGCAATTTTTTGTCAAAATCATTGGAGACTGTGCCGATTTAGCAAAATGTAGTGTAGATTG